TACTACTACTACTACTACTACTACTACTACTACTACTACTACTACTACTACTACTACTACTACTACTACTACTACTACTACTACTCCTACTACTACTCCCAGGGAAGTCAAGAGATCACCCCCAAGAAGTCCCAGGACTGAATGTCCCAGGAGGTCCCGGGATGTCCACACAGACATCATGAATCCCCTATAGGACACTCGACACGAAACTCAATCCTTGAGAAAACGCGGTGCTTCTTAAAAACGGCGGCTTGGGCCAGAAGAGCCCGCACGACCCCCAAACAAGGAACTGTATTTTGAAAGGAACGTGAAACCCCAAAAAGACCCGACAGGAACCTGAATCCGTAACAACACCAGGGGCCCAGGGAGCCTCCTCCTCCTCCTCTTCCTCCTCCTCCTCCACCTCCTCCTCTTGCGGCTCATGATACTCATCATTTCTCTTCCAAATCCTGTTCGTTTTGTTCCTCTTCTTTCCTCCGCCGAACGTTTCTTTTTTTCGCGAGCTCGCCGCCTCCGGTCCTTCGACCCTCGCGGCAATGCCAGCACTGTGTGTGGCGATGCCTGGATCCAACCTCATTCTCCACCATCTCTACGAGCAGCGACAGCGCTTCGGGCCCCGACGGCACCGCCGCCGCCGCAATACGCCTGTGAGCACCGCGGCGTTCCCGCAAGCGCAACATTACATGCATGCGGGCATCACAATAACGCGACGCGCGCGGGCGTGCCTGTGTGGGCCCCACAACAACCTGCGCGCACGATGCGCCCCTACGAGCCACAGGCGTATGCCTGCGCACACTGCAAACACGCTGTCGTCGCACTACGAGCAGCATACGTAACTGTACGCTACACATCAGGCACTGCTGCGACGAGGGTGGGTGGGGCGGCGGCCGTTCTGTCATGTACTGGGTGGGTGGGTGGGTTGGAGGCCACATAACGCGCATTATGTCTTGAGTAAAAAAACTTGAGCTCCTGGGGGCATCGGTATAGCTTCCGATGGGGTCACGAAGCGCTATACTGGGTGGGCGAAAATGCCAAAGTGGGTGTGAGGGACGCATGCGGGCGGTCCCACTAAGGGCTTCGGTGGAGCCCCATGAATCGCTAGACTGGGTAGGTGAAAGTGCCAAATTAGGCGTTCTGGGACGCATGCGGACGGTGCCACTGGGCGCTTCGGTGGAGTCTGATGGGGCCACGAAACGTTGTACTGGGTGACTGAAAATGCCAAATTGGGTTTCTGGGACGCATGCGGACGGTGGCACTGGGAAATTCGGTGGAGCCCCCTTATGGGGCCACGAAGCGCTGTACTGGGTCTGTGGGAATGCCAAATGGGATTTCAGTGACGCATGCGGACGGTCCCGCTGGGGGGTTCGGTGAAGCCCCCTTATGGGGCCACGAAGCGCTGTACTGGGTAAGTGAAAATGCCAAATTGGGTGTTCTGGAACGCGCGCGGACGGTCCCATTGGGGACTTCGGTGGAGCTCCCTCTGGGGCCACAAAACGTCGTTGTACTGGGTGGGTGAAGTTTCCGGGGCGCATGCGAGCGGTCCCACTGGGGGCTTCGGTGGAGCTCCCAAGGGGGCCACGAAACGCTGTAGGCAAATTGGGTTTCCGGGTCACATGCGAGCGGTCCCACTGGGGGCTTCGGTGGAGCCCCCTATGGGGCCACGAAGCGCTATACTGGGTGAGCGAAAATGCCAAATTAGGTGTTCCCGGGCGCATGCGGACGGTGGCACTGGGGGCTTCGGTGGAACTCCCTATGGGGCCACGAAACGCTTTACTGGGTGGGTGAAATAGCCAAATTGGGTGTTCCGGGTCCCATGCGGACGGTCCGCCTGGAGGCTTCGGTGGAGCCCCCTGTAGGGCCACAAAGCGCTGTGCTGGGTGTGTGAAAATGCCATATGGGGTTTCCGGGACGCATGCGGACGGTGGCACTGGGGGCTTCGGTGGAGCTCCCTATGGGGCCACGAAACGCTGTACTGGGTTGGTGAAACGCAAGGAGGGAGGAGGGGGGAGGGGGAGGAAAGAGGGAACGCGGGGACCGTGTTTGCAAAACGAGGACCCAACACTACAGGATGGTTGGGGACAACAGAACACACAACTGCATGAACATCCATTTCCGGAGGTCCGCGCGGATTTCTTGGATCGGCGATGGATCCCCCCACCCTGTCGCAGAGCGCCAGGGGGGGGGGGCCTAACGCAGGGATCCGTGCGGAGCTCCGACAAATTATATGTATGCATTGCTCTGCTTGGGCACTCTAGAACCTGAACAGATTGCAAGCAATGGTTTTCAAACCGCAAACTTTCATAGCGCCAAACGTTCGTGATGATATGATATGCGCGCGCCCCGTGGTAAATAAAAACTGGTCCGCGCCTCACGAGCCACGATCCCTGATAAACTACGGATCCAACCCCAATGCCGCGATCCCTTGCGTTGAACAGCGCAATTGCCCGTATCCCCGAAAACGCGGCCCCTCGCAGAACCAATGTATTCGCGACCCCGAGGCCAGGACAATTGTTCATCTGTTTGATGTGAACGATGGGTCCTCGCTCTCCGAGCCGCGATCCTTCATGAACAAATCCAGCGAAGTGGCCCTGCGCGAGACTAATTGTAGATTCAACCGCACAAGAGATCCGATTGAGGCATTTGAGAGAACGGACGAGAGACGAAAAGGGACATGATCAACGGGGGCGAGGGGGGAGGAGGGAGACTGCCAACCGACCAACCACTCAAGCACTCAACCAACCAAATCAACGCAGCCGTGCAGGCAACCAGAGGGAAGGGCAGTGGCAGAGGTCGACGCCCTTCAGATCCAATCGATCCCTCCAGTGGTGTGGGCTGTGCGAGACCACTCTCTCAGAGTGTTTGACAAGATTCGCCAATGCCTGGTCAACACCTACACGAAGTCCCTCATGTGGACCGCTACTCTGTCGGCGGTCCCTCGCGGAACCTCCCCCTCGTTTAAGAGCCAAGCGGGCCAAATATGTTTCCGAGACGACCTAGGGCCCCAAGACTGCCCGCGGCAGCCGAAAAGAGGGGGCCCAAGACGGTCCAAGAGGTCCCCGAGACAGCCCAAGAGCGCTCGAAGGCCACCTCAAATTGCTTCACAACCGCCCAAGAGGCCCACGCCCCAAGAGGGCTCCAAGAGACCAGTAGGGACCCAAGAGGCACACATCGTCCAAATCTTTTAGGTAAACGTGCAAGTGTAGCAACTCCGCCTTGTTGGCCTTACCAACTTCCAAAACGGCCGATCAATCTCCCAGGGCCGCCCCAACACAGCCAAAACGTCCCCAACGAGGGCCCCAAGACCTGAGATCGCCAGGAGGCCCCAAGAAAGCCCCAAAGGGCCCAACGGAAGCCCCTAAGAGGCTCCCCAAACGGCCCACCAAGAGGCTCCCAGAGCCTCACAACTGTTCCCAAGAGACCACCAAAGGCTTTCGAAGAGGACCCCGCAGGCATCCGAGAGGCCTCGGACCCACAACCCAGGCACAGTTGCGAGATGGGCGGAAAGGCTGAATAATTGTCTTCCAGATCTGCCTCATCTTCCTCTTCCTCTTCCCCTTCCTCCTACAGCCAAACGCCCCAAAGACCTCTGACAATAAATGAAGTCACGGAGAGGCTCCCAGCACGCCCCTAGCACGAAACTGCCCGAAACAACTCTACGCCCACACGTCCGTCAACAACACAAAGAACGGCCAATGATCCGCCGCCGGCGTTATCGATACTGTCTGCTACCGCTACCGCTGCTACTGTTATGGCTACTGACTGCCACTTCTACTGCTGCTACGGTTACTGCTACTCTTGTTCCTGCTTCACGCTCCTCCAGGATGGGTCTCCAGTGAAAGATCAGCAAACGACACTAGATGGCACGGAACAGTCTGTAATTACGGAGCAAGGTGCCTCGACATGCTGTTCTGAAGGGACACTGCTCGTGAATGCGAATAAGCAGGCCCTGCCTGCATGGAACTGTCACGTTACACTGCAACGCTGTTCTGTAAACCAGCGTCTTGCCAGGCACGAAAGTTTGCCCCGCCTGTACGCGCTACAAATTGCAACAGAGCAAACGCTTGGAACAAATCTTGAACAATCTGCCCAAAATACGCGAATGTTCTGTGAAAGGTAAACAACATACAAACGACCGCATGAAGCCGGGTACAAGCGCTCAGCAGATGCCAGCCGCGACGTCCGCGACGCAACTCTGGATGCACTGTGGGTCGTACAGCGCCGATGTCGCGCCTCCTGCTGCGACCCGGCAGAGCCCGAGGCAGGCGCCGGCGTTGCCCCCCGGGCAGGCGTTGCCGTGGTCGCCGAACTGATGAAGCAAGAACGCCCCCATGGCGAGGAGAAACGTGCTGCCGGCGATGTCTTGGAAGGCAGTCTCCATGGGCCCAGCCATCGCGGATGGGTCAAAGCCGATGCGCTTGGATAGCAGAGGGGCGGCCGTCCCCGAGAGCGCCGCGGTCAGCATGCTCACGAAGGTGCCGAGGCCGATCGTCAGAGCGAAAACGACAGCGCCCGACCACGTGTGCTCGCCCCGGGGCAATGGGGCGTACCAAACCAGGGCCGTCACGCCCACGACACCAGTCATCATGCTGGCCATCACGACACCCACTTTGAACTCCGGCAGCATCGCCTGGCAGAACTTGTCCTCTGAATCGATGCCCAATGCCAGATTACGGACGACGATCGACGACGACTGCAGCCCGATGTTCCCAGAGACGGCCGAGAGGACTGGCACAAACGCGACCAGCAGCGGGTACATTCTAAGGGTGGCTTCGTACCTGGTGATGACAAAGCCGACGACCATCTCGATCGCAAAAGTGATCAAGATCGCAGGCATGCGCAGCCTCACGCGCCGCAGGGTGGAGGCTGAATGCATCGCGACTGCATCCGTGTTGGCCACGGGCTTGCTGACATCCGCCTCCCCGTGGCTTGTCTTCGGATTGACTGTGGCCTCCATGTTATCAATTTCGTGGGTACTGACCTGCGTCGCCGCGGCAGGGGAAATAGTCATCTCGTCAGACTTCGGCGGCAGGGGCAACTCGAACCACACCGACTGCGGAGTGTTGCAAGTGTTTGTCGTCTGCCTCGTGTTCGTGGTTGGTCTATGAAGCTGTGCATACTTGGCGTGTCTTTGTGTGGGCATTGCGTCTCACCTTGCCTATGCTGATGCTGTGCAATGTGGTTAGCCATGTGATTGCGTATGCGTGCGAAGTAAGCTAAAGGATCTGAATGGACACTACTTATGTTTGTGCGATGCGTGTATATGCCTGCACCAATACATACGTACATGCACGCACCCATGCATGCGTAGACACCGTATTGCATGCGCTGTACAACGATGAGTGTGTGTATATATGTATAATTATGTGTACACATACATGTGCCCATATAGACGGTACACCCCCCCGAACAAAACAAATTAGCCTGGCGAAGGACCCAACCATATGCTGTTGTGAGAATACTGCAATTGTGAATGCCATCTTGGCCCGCGCTCCCTATGTGGCCACGGCTTTCCGCCGGAGCCCGACATGCTCAGGGACACGTTCGTGGCCGTCTTCGCGGGCGCCGACGACGACAAGGACGGCGTCCCTCTCACCGAGGAGCAGAAGCAGGAGAAGGCCTTGAGAGCCATGAGAGAGGAGGTGGCGTTGCACGACGACAAGGCGGAGTACGACGCCCAGGCGCGGTTGTTGAAGCAGCACAACTATGGGGCCACGATCCTCGTGAGGGATGTGCCGCAATGGCCCGGGGCCGCCATGCGAACCCTTCCACTGGCGCCTTCGGTGGAGCTCTCTATGGGGCCACGGTCCTCGTGAGGGGTGTGTCGAAATAGCCCGAGGCCGCCCTGCGAACCCTGCCACTGGGGCCTTCGGTGGAGCTCTCTATGGGGCCACGATCCTCGTGAGGGGTGTGCCGAAATGGTCCGAGGCCGCCATGCGAACGCAGCCACTGGGGCCTTCGGTGGAGCTCCCTATGGGGCCACGATCCTCGTGAGGGGTGTGCCGAAATGGCCCGAGGCCGCCATGCGAACGCAGCCACTGGGGCCTTCGGTGGAGCTCCCTATGGGGCAACGATCCTCGTGAGGGGTGCCGAAATGGCCCGAGGCCGCCATGCGAACGCAGCCGCTGGGCGCCTTCGGTGGAGCTCCCTATGGGGCCACGATCCTCGTGGGGAGTGTGCCGAAATGGCCCGAAACCGCCATGCGGACGCAGCCACTAGGGCCTTCGGTGGAGCTCCCTATGGGGCCACGATCCTCGTGAGGGGTGTGCCGAAATGGCCCTAGGCCGCCATGCGAACGCAGCCACTGGGGGCCTTCGGTGGAGCTCCCTATGGGGCCACGATCCTCGAGAGGGGTGTGCCGAAATGGCCCGAGGCCGCCATGCGAACGCAGCCACTGGGGGCCTCCGGTGGAGCTCCCTATGGGGCCACGATCCTCGAGAGGGGTGTGCCGAAATGGCACGAGGCCGCCATGCGAACGCAGCCACTGGGGCCCGTGGAGCTCCCTATGAGGCCAAGATCCTGGAGAGAGGTGTGCCGAAATGGCCCGAGACCGCCATGCGAACGCAGCCACTGGGGCCTTCGGTGGAGCCCCCATATGGGGCCACGATCCTCGTGAGGGGTGTGCCGAAATGGCCCGAGGCCGCCATGCGAACGCAGCCACTGGGGGCCTTCGGTCGAGCTCCCTATGGGGCCACGAAGCGCTGTACTGGGTGGGTGGAACGCAAGGAAGAGGGGGAGGAGGGAGGAGGAGGGGGAGGAGGAGGAGAGAATGAGAGGAGACGCGGGCCACCGTCTCTTCAAAACGAAAACCCAACACCACAGGATGGTTGGGAACAAACAAACATGCATCCGTTGTAGCTTCCTGACATGATGGGATGGATTACCAACATTTGCGCCCGTGCCCGCTCGCGGGCGCCTCGTGGCGACCCGTGCGTTGGGTGGTCTTGCCGAGATTTGACTTGTTCGGCCACCGTGCCCGCACTTGGGCGTCCCGTGGACGCCCCGTGCGCTTGCTCCACAGCTTGCACCACAGAACCTGCACAACACAGCTCTAACGACGCGTAGCTCACACCCCACAGCTCATACCACATAGCTTACACATTATAACGTGCACAACATTGCCTATAATGCTTCGCGTTCGCAATATAGCTCACAGGACACACGTAACATAACATAGGTCACACCATAAAGGCCACATCGAAAAGCTACTACAACATAGCTTACTCTATATAGCTTGCAAAGATGGGCCACACCATATAGTTCATTCCGCAAATCATGCGCCACATAGCCGGCAACCGATAGTTTACAACACATAAGTGGCACCAACAAGCTCACTCCGTAAATCTTGAACGACATAACCTACCCCACATAACCTCCACATCCACCGTGCAATACATCACTGCTTGGGGCCCGCGATGGCTAAGATTCGCATGTTTGCATCCGTGTATCCGCCAGCCTATCTGCGCGGCAATTAGGCTCCGGGGCTTCGATTTGCCTCACTTTGCTCCAGTTCCAGTGCTCTGCGCGCGAATACGAAACTCGCGGGGGCAATCGCAAATGGGGAAAAAAAACGAGGGCGCTCTTGTCCTCC